TAAAATACTGACCCTGATCCTCTTGACCCTGACCTTGACCCAAACACTAACCCTGGCACTGACCTAAATCAAACTTTGTTTCAGATATGTTTTTTTAATTATTATTTTTCATTATTTTTTTTTTTTTATTTTTTTTACACACACTTTTTTTTTTTTCTCTCTGAAAGGACAGAGAGAGATACAATTTATCTTTCTCCTCCATTCAGAGAGAGAAAACATGGGGGGGCGGGCTTCACGGTGGCTGATCGTTGCGGTAGCCAATCAAAGGCTAACACAGTGATCAGGCGACCCTAAATCTGGAGTTCTGGGTCCTGATCATTACCATGCTCCCAGCACAAAGACAGGTACGCAAATTGTGGCCCCACAGGAAAAAGACCAGTCCAGTGGGGCTGCATATTTGCGTATGGTCGGCGTGAAGGGGTTAAGTAAAACAGTCTAGTAATTTGTTTAATGCTGCAACTAGAAAGTATGAATTGGATGATGAAAGGTAAAAATTTCTGTAGCTTAGCATATATTTGTAAATGTGTTTCTCAGATGTCGTCATTGCTTAATATATGGTTGGAGAATTCCATTTTCACTTCTGCTCTCAATCTTCTTATCCTCATTAGCTTACTGTCAGCAGAAGATTTGATTGACAGGCAAATCTACTTACACTTTGAATATCTAAGTGCTACTTAGTTTTTATGTTTAAAATGACAAAATAAAATAGGTTCTGTAAAAACAGTTATGTTTGCACTGATGACGTAGATTTATTAAAGAAAAAAGTCCCTTTAATGCAGGCCAACTAAAATACATCAATCTTTTGTCAAATTTTAGTTTACAGGAATGCAAAACTGTCCTTTAATGGGTAAACATTGGCCTTCCAGTTACGAGTCCAGGTATCTGTTATGGGCTTTCCAGTTACGAGTCCAGTTATGGCTTTCCATTTATAGTATCAGCTTTTATTTATAACATGTCAACATATAATTTAAGGCGTACAATCAAATAAGTGCAGGGACCATAAAGAATACAAACATAATATATAAAAAATACTAGAACAGAGGAGTAAAAAGGGGCCTGTTTTGATAAATTAGGTTATGCTAATGGTGTTGGTTGGAGGTAATCTGTACAAAATGATGTTATCCTAAATATTTTAAAGGAGGCTCTATTTAGTAAGAATAAAGAATTCCAGAGCTAGAAGAACTGCTCAAAAGAAATCTTGCAGCTCAGCTTGAAGCTCACTACATGAGCTTCTAAATAGGACTGGTTTTAGACAAAATGAAGCCCAGGGTAGAAAAAAGTGGGGTTTCTTTTGTTTGCTAGGTACACATGGGGAGTATTTTTCGGTTCAACCTAGCAGGAAGAAAAAAAAACCCAAAAACTCAGAGGTCGCCATTTTAACTAAGTGAAATTAGGGCGGGCATCTCCCCCGCTGTGCTTTTGTATTCTGACAGGGGGACTTCTCCCCCACCAGAACACACTGATCAGCCCTCTCAACCATTGGCTGCAAGTGCTGATCGGTTGCTAGTTTTCCAGCATGCCCATTCGATAAAAGCCAGTCATTAGACCTGCTTCTGTCAGACAGACTGCTGTACACACTCACCAAATATTGTCTGGTTTCTGTTGAACCAGCCGATGCCAGCCGAAATTCAGCCCCTGTGTACTAGCCTTAAGTCCAGTATTGTTAATAACTGTTAAGTGCTATTTTGCTAAATACAAAGCAGTTTAATATTAAAGCACACAGTAGTGTCATAAAATAAGTGATTTTACAAAGAAAGGAAGATAATGGCAAGCCAGGCAGTTAATAAAGAGTGTATCTTATGCAAGGTACAAATAAGGAGTTTTTTTTGTTCATCTCAGCAAGCTGAACAAAAAACAACGGGGAGAGGTTGCCGTACTATGTGATGTTAGTGCAGCCATATCCCCCGCTGAGGTTTGTGCTCTGACAGCGGACCGTCCCCCCTGCCAGAAAACACTGATCAGCACTTACAGCCATTGGCTGCAAGCGCTGATCGGATGCTGGTTTTTCAGTACGCCCGTTCGATAAAACCCAGTCATTAGACCTTCTTCTGTCAGACAGCCTGCTGTACACTCGGCCACGGATGTCACCTGGTTTCTGTTGAACCAGCCAATACTGGCTGATTTACCAATCTTTAGAAAGCAAAGCAAACTTTAATAGTAGGTCTAGTTTAGCAACTCATAAAAAACATTATTCTTATGTCAAACACAGTATGTCAATAAAATGAAATTAAATAAAAAGCAAAATTAAAGTGTATGTTATGCCAAAAAAAAATTTCATATACACATTCGGCTATTCATATAGTTCTTAGCAAATGTAGGCCTTAATATTTTTATTTTGTACATCACTGCTACAGTAAATACCTGGTGATCTTGATAGTTCCCCTGTTACCCCTGGAAACTGTTTCAAATTGACCATGTCAAGCACAGAAATTGATCCATGCTTACATGGTCAATTTGCATTATTCAGCTTTTAATCTGTGCTACAGGACATCATGCTTGTCATGTCTGTAGTTCAGTGTTCAGTGTGGCTGCCACCGCCTTCCCAGCCTGGACCTCCTTGATTTACAGGAGTTCCTAGCAGGAGCCTCGCTATCACTTCAATAACCGTATGTCATGCCACTGCCAGCCCTCTGTTTGTTTAATAGGAGGTCCATCCAGCAGCCTTACTGCCAGTGTCTTTATTGCATGCCACTGCCTGCACTTTGCTGGCATGTAGCTTTTTTTTTTTTTTTTTTATGTTTCTCTAATTCTTGCAGTAAACCCAAGGAAACCAACCCAGTATTATAATAATGCATTTTACTAAACAGAAAAACAATACAAGATATAAAGAGTGACAGCAATCAGAATGCAGTTGGGATACACTAACATAACTTACTGTCTCTATAAACCGGTCCACAATTTCGATAGCAATCAGGACTTCAGGTGTTAGGCAGTCACTGAAAAATGGATTCTTGATTTTAACCATCTCTCTCGTAGTGTAGTTTTAATGTTGTTCTATGGTAGAGTTCTCCTTTCAGTTTTGGTGCAGGCTTTTTTATCTTGGAAAGTTTGTAGCCCTTCCCTCATAGTAGAACAGCAGTCTCTATGAGGGAAGCATTTCTGCATTATAATTATAATCCTTCTTGGGTCCCCCGCTGATGATTCTGGCTCCTCCCCTCTGAGCAGTGCCCCTATAGCAAGCCACTTGCCATGAGGGCACTGGTACATGCTCATTCCTGAGCCCCACTCTCTGTTACCATAAGACTCAGCAGTGCTGGCCTTGGACTGCCCCTGCTCCCTCCTCACAGGCTTTGATTGACAGCAGCGGGAGCCAATGGTCATTCTCAGACCTTTGTTACACCAAACCTTGCTAGCTGTTATGCCTTTAGGTCACAGACTCCCCTAGTGAAGCAGGTCTTATGCTTATTTCCTCACCTTTTTTCCTGGCTGACCGAATAAATTGATGCTGAGAATTATAGCTAACTTTTACTACTAGACCAAACAAAGACAAAATTATGCTAATGAATTAATCCTAGCAGCAAATAGAAATGTCCCCTTTATAGATAGGTTCAGTATCGCACACTTTTCAGATATGGATGTTTTTGTAAATTGGTATTTAAGCATTTATAAATAAAACTGTCTGTAAACAAAGCATATTTGAATAATACAAAAGGCAACCAATTAAAAGCTGTGGCATTGTGCACAATATTTTGAATCCTCTAAAAAAATGCATTAAAATTTTAAGCAGATCCAGAAAGAATAATATGGTCATCTGGTAAACTGTTCTACCCATGCAGTGCAAAATCTCATTTTTCTGCTTTTGGCACTTTCTGAGGTACTTTATGAAAGTCATCCTGAATTCATAGGGCAATGAATTGCTGTCTGTTGCTCCTAAAGCTTTTGGGATCTCAAGCACTCCAGCAGGCACTTTTATGTAAATGCTGAGAATCATGTTGATGCATAATTTCTCCTACAAGCCGTACAACCTGATATTTATTGTTTATCCATATCGCCTAGTTTTTGAAACACTGATTGTACTTAAAGAAAAGCAAAACCAAAACCAACTATTGTAGAAAGTTGATAGGTAAAATTACACCAAAGTACTTGTGCACTTTTCAAGTGTCTGACAGGAAAACGGACTTGTGAAAGTAAGTGAAAATATTATAGGTCACATAACCCTTAACCTGAATTACCGGTAACTTTCTTATGGGTGGCATAAGCACTCCCTGATGTGTTTAGCACATTCACAAGAACATTCTATATTTATTTATATTACATACGATTTGTTCAAGGGTTCAAGGGTTTTTCTTAACTTGGAGATAAGTGGGATACACATCTTAATTTCATGTACTGTTCACAATGTCTAAAGTTCAAATGGAAATGTAATTCAAATGGTCTGCTTATGAATAGAATAAGCAAACATCGGGCTTCATAATAAACAAGTATGGGTTTTGTTTTAGTTATTTATACCACAGACTTATTTCTTAAAATATAATAGCACAACTGGGAGGAGATACATCAACTTTCACAGTTTATAAACAAACTATAATTATTTGGATGTATTGTGGTCAAGTGAAATGTACACTATATTGGCAAAAGTATTGGGACGCCTGCCTTTACATGCACATGAACTTTAATGGCATCCCAGTCTTAGTCCGTAGGGTTCAATAATTAGTTGACCTACCCTTTGCAGCTATAACAGCTTCAAGTCTTCTGGGAAGGCTGTCCACAAGGTTTAGGAGTGTGTCTATGGGAATTTTTGACCATTCTTCCAGAAGCGTATTTGTGAGTTCAGGCACTGATGTCGGACGAGAAGGCCTGGCTCACAATCTCCGCTGTAATTCATCCCAAAGGTGTTCTATCGAGTTGAGGTCAGGACTGTTCACACATAGTTGGGAGCATGAAATTGTCTAAAATGTGTTGGCATGCTGACACCTTAAGAGTTCCCTTCACTGGAACTAGGGTCCAAGCCCAACAGCTGAAAAACAATCCCACACCATAATCCCCCTACACCAAACTTTACACTTGGCACAATACAGTCAGGCAAGTACCATTCTCCTGGCAACCACCAAACCGAGACACATCCATTGGATTGCCAGACAGAGAAACGTGACTCCAAAGAGCATGTCTCTGCTGCTCTAGAGTCCAGTTGCAGTGTGCTTTACACCACTGCATCCTATGCTTTTCATTGCACTTGATGATGTAAGGCTTGGATGCAGCTGCTCGGCCATGGAAATTAATTCTATGAAGCTCCCTATACCAGCCCTCAAAATTTCCACTCACACGCTCGCATTGGGTGAGTGGGAATAAGGTAGGGGCGAGCAGCTCTGGGACTAGGAGTGTGTGGGAGTGGTGGTGGTGGGGGGGGTAGTGACAAGCAGTGATCCCCTGTAAGGCTTTCAATGAAGCAGCTGAAAGCCACAGGAGGGAGAAGAGGAGAAGCAGCTTCCAGCTGCTTCATTGAAAGTCATACTGGAGATCACTACTTGTCACTGTCCCTCCACTGCACCAATCATCCCCAAACGTTCTGTCTTCTTTCTGGGCCCACCTCGATGTGTGCCCAGTCCCTCCCCCTATCCTCCACACCAATAGGAGAAGAGGGGAGAGAGGCTGGATCTGCTCTGTCTCGCCCTGTGCCCGCCCACACTCCAGTACGTGCAGCTTCAGAGTCATGTGAGTCCGACCTCCCTTCCTTCTTTCCACCCCTCCTTCCCTTCCCTCCACCCCTCCTTCCCTTCCCTCCACCCCTCCCTCCCTTCCTTCCACCCCTCCCTCCCTTTGTGCCCCTCCCTTTCTTTCCCCCTCCCTTCCACCCCTCCCACCTTTCCTTCCACCTTCCCTCCCTTCCTTCCACCCCTCCCTTCCACCCCTCCCTAAATTTCTTCTACCCCTTTCTCCCTTCCTTCTACCCCTCCCTCCCTTCCATTTTCTTTCTTCCTTCCTTCTGCATAAAACATTTAATAATGCCATTTCATGAGATAATTTATGAGTGTGTGTTTAGGGGTGGAATTAAGGGCGAGGCAGGGTAGGGGTTGGGTAGGGCAACTGGTGGTGAGTAATAAGTCCTGGCTAATAGCTCAGGAGTTGAAATTGTTAGCCCTGCTCTATGCACTGTTGTTGTGCTAATCTGAAGGCCACACGAAATTTGGAGGTCTTTAGCTATTGACTCCGCAGTTTGCGACTTCTGCACACTGTGCAATTAAGCTGACTGTGCCCTGTCATTTAACGTGGCCTACCACTTAGTTTCTGAGTTGCTGTTGTTCACAGTTGCTTCCACTTTGGTATTATACCACTAATTGTTGACCGTGGAATATTTAGTAGCACGGAAATTTCACAGATAGACTTATTGCACAGATGGCAACCTATCATGGTACCACACTTGAATTCACTGAGCTCCTGAGAGCAACTCATTCTTTCACAAATGTTTGTAGAAGCAGTCTGCATGCCTTGGTGCTTGATTTTATACGCCTGTGGCCATGGAGGTGATTGGAACACCTAAATCTAATGACTTGGAGGGATAGAGTATTTTATATAGCCATCTCCATCTAATATTCTGCATCTATATTAACGTGGACACAAAGGCACTTGCCTATATTTTAACATGGACACAAAGGAACTTGCCTAGAGAAATGGAAAAGGTATATGAACTGTGCAACACACCAAACAAAATATTTGTCAAATATTGCAAATTTTGCACATAGCTAGCCATAATTATGGAAGATAATATAGCCATTATTCACTGCACACAATAGGACCTGGAAAAGACCAACAGATATAGTGAAATGGTGGTATTCCATGATTACATATCCTTCTTCTACACCAGCATGCTCATTTTATCATTCGCATGAACACACAGGAGCAATATATTCTAGTAATATATTCCCCTAGAGACCAAAAGGTATAAAAGACATAGCACTCCTTATGTATAAAGAATGTTATAAATACAATCCCTTCTGAGTTGCTTTCTCTAGAAATACTTGACCTCTTAACATTCTATTTTGAAACCGCACGAGCTGCTAATGAGACAGACAGAGACAGAATTAAGCCTCAATATATTCTACAGCATTTGACCTTGCTTTGTTCTTTAAAACAAGCTGCTGAACTCAAGGATATATCCTAGTGCATTCATTTTCCCTCTAGGGACATAGTGCCAAATGGTAGTATAATTGCCAAGGGAAAATTATCACTGAGATGAGAACTGTATCCACCATAAATTCAGAAAATGTGAAACAAACCAGGTCATTAAAATGACAGGGTAGGTTTGGAAGGAGAGTGCCCACAAATACAATACTAAATAATAAATAATTTACAGTATAGTTATGTAGGAAAAACAGATGCTTAAATTTGAAAGACTTAAGTTGAAGGACTTATAAAAACACATGCAGCAGTAACATTATTGAGTCAGAGTAACTTCAAGAAACTTAAATTGTAAAGGTTGATATGAGTAAGTAATATGAGTATTAAATGGTAATATACTGTATATAATAGTACATTGAACAAAAACTGGGCAATACATACTGTATGTAGAGGTGTGGTTCCCTCAATTAATATGGCATTTGTTTGCTGTACTGGAAAGCTACTTCTTCTTTTGCTTCATTTTGTAGTTTTTGTTGAGCTATCCAGTGTACTGTGTCAAAAGTCTTTCAGGGAGGGGCATGTCTTGCCAGCTTCTGAGACAGCTGCTTTCTAAGGGAGCTCCAGTCCCACAGCCTATACAGTCCCCAGCGAATATAGTGCCTCCCTTTAGCTCTCCTGTGCCCGCTCCACCTGCCCACACATACAGGAATGCTGAAGTGCGGTAATCAGTGATCAGCTCTGCAGGATTTTTTCTCTCCTGCCTTGGAGCGGGATACATAAGATGGCGTAGACCTAGCCATGTGCATCTCCATTCATAAGGACTTTCCCACTAACACCAGCACCTCTGCCTCCTCCATATGCACAGTGATCTGCCTTCCTTCTGCTTAGCATGGTCAGTTCTCTCCCCCTGACAGCCCCCTCCACCCACAGTCCTGCTAAGGCAAAGCAAGGAGACCTGCTTGCTGATTCCAATTCCCTCCATTTACTGAAGACTAAGAAATGTAATGGCTGCACACTCTCTTGGAAGAGGGAATACTTTATTGAAGTACCAAATACAGATCAAAACATCACAGCATTGGAGCACTGACAGGTAGGAAGGTAGATGCATTTCATGCACAGCAGTGATTATTGGTATTGAATAAGCGCTGCTGTGTGTGAAATGCGCCTCGCTTCTGATCTGTCAGTGCTCCAGTTCTGTGATGTTTTCATCTTTACTTGACACTTCAATAAAGTATTTGCGATTCCAGGGGAGTGTGCAGCCATCCCATTTCTATTGTCTGGATCTTGGAGGTGAGCCAGGTGGTCACCTCTGTCTGTGGATCGCATATGGGGTTACGTGTCCTTACTTGAGGCGGTGTTGCTGTTTGTGTGGACTGTCAGATATGCTGAAGACTCCTTTATAACAATATCCTGTGTCTACCTAGCCAGTGTCTCAAAGATAGGCTGATCTCCCCTACCGATTCTGTGCATCTTGACATGATGAACATGCTGGCTAAAGTTAGCTTCTGTGCAAGACCTTTAGCAAAGGGTATTGCATATTGAGCATTAAATGGGTAATATCTTCATTGCCCCTTAACAGCCTTGTTGATGCTTGTACAGATCAACAGTCCGATCTGCAAAAAGCTATACCAAGATTGGAAGACGTGAAGACAGGGCCATATATAATAACATTAATTTTGCAGAGTTCCGAAACTAGTTCTGCCCCAATTAATTCAATAATTACCGCGCTCTAATACTAATTAAAAAAGTGCTCAGTGCTTGAAAAATAATATAAATAAATCAACAATTGATGATACCTTTAAAAAATTGTAAATACTCCTATATATGTGCCAATTAATAAATCAAATAATAATTCATGATAAAAATAATATAAAGTCCAAAAAATCCAAAAGGTATAAATAAAAAGTCCCAAGTGCAAAAAGAAAGTGCTATAGTGTTCAAGTCAAATCAAATCAAATCATACTCTCCTTCCAACATATGGTTTGCTTCAATCCTGCAGCTTTATAATTAGCCTGTGTGTCTGTGAGGGATGATCCCTCCTTTGATCCACTCTCGCCTTCTAATATGTGCTTCAATCCTGCAGCCTTGCAAGTAGCTTGTATGCCTGTGAGGGATGATCCCTCCTTTGATCCACTCCTTGTTGTAACAGCCAAATGCATGCAAAGAGAAAAGAATATATGGTGCCTTATCCCAGAGACAAATTCAGATTTTAATTCACTTTCACATTACACTAACATGTTAAAAACATCAATAGCGCTTTTTGTATAGCAAACAACCGCTGCCTGTGGTGAAGGTCTGGCCAGAGGGTGTGTACCCCACGCCGTCAGTACTCACCGTATCAGATGTGCGGTGACGTCACTGCCCCTCCTCAACGCGTTGCGCCACAGGGACTGCGTAGCTTCATCTGGGGGATGATGTGTGGGGAGGGGCAGTGACGTCACCGCACCACCTCCTTGTGGCATCATCAACCAGGGCATGCTGGATCAATGATGTCACAAGGAGGTGGGGCCACACACGTGATGTCACTGGGTGGTCCCGCCCCTTACATATTTAGGAACTGTCAAGCCAGACGGCTAGGAGCCATCATCGGGAGTGGAGGCTTTTTTAAATTCTTTTTTTTTCGGGTCAGCGGAAGCGGACATCATGATTTGCGCTTGATCTACTGTGGGGGACATTCTTTTAGTTTTTTCTTTTAATAAAGGACTTGTTAAAGACAGTGTCCTGTCTTTTTTCATACTACACTTTTATTTTTTGTGAATGAGTAGGGACCATGTACCCCATACTCATTCACATAGGGAGGGGGCTGGGATCTGGGGGCCCACTTGTTAAAGGTGGCTTCCAGATTCTGATAAGCCCCCTGCCCGCAGACCCCCACAACCACCTAATAGGGTTTTTGGGAAGAAGCCCTTGTCCCCATCAAAATGGGGACAAGGTGCTTTGGGGGAAGCCCTCCTTGCCCCAAAGCACCCCCCTATGTTGAGGGCATGTGGCCTGGTATGGTGCAGGAGGGGGGGCACTCGTCTCCACACCCCCCCATCCTGACCTGCCGGGCTGCATGCTTGGATAAAGATCTGGTATGGATTTTGGGGGGACCCCCACGCCATTTTTTTTTACATTTTGGCGTGGGAGTTCCCCTCAAAAATCCAAGGGCTTGGTATGGACGGGCCATCTTTTAAATTATTTTTTTTCATTGCCGGCAATTCTTTCTTTTACATTCAGCTGTCAGTGGGGGACACCGCTGACAGATGAAACATTAACACATGGTTGTCACTACTAAAATACTGCATGACTTGATAAAATAACTCATGCAGTATTTTAGTAGCATTTACTTTTGTATGACCTCCAGAATTGATTAATTGGTTTTCAGTGCATTCCTATGGGAAACAGCATTTCGGTTTACAAATTTTTTCGCTATACGAAAAGTCCTGCAGAACAAATTAAATTTGTAAACCGAGGTATGCCTGTACCTTGAAAACCTCTTTGCACAATGAGTTTCTTTATGATGTTTTGCATTGCCATCACCCATTAGAGAAAGATTACACTTTTTTCTCATATCCACAGAACACATATTCCAGGATTGACCTTATACTTTTGGACTTCCAGTTACCCTATAAAGTCACTCAGGTGCCAATTCATACTATAACATGGCCAGACCAGCCCCAGTCAGGTTAAAGATCCGAGAAAAATATAATGTTTGTCCTTCCTTCTTATGGCACAACAGTACGCTCCTTTATGCGCACAGACACCACAGAGAGATTACAGTCCCAACTTAAGGAGTTTTACCATCTCAATGCTACTTCATTACATTATTACATTACATTACATTGAGTTTATATAGCGCCAAAGGGTTTGCTCAGCGCTGTACAATAGAGGGGGGGACAATACATGAAACATTACAGCAGCTACGAACAGCACACGAGGGGGTAAGAGGGCCCTACTCTTTCGAGCTTACAATCTGGGAGGGAGGGGGGGTAGTGGTACAGGAGGAAGTGGCTGTGGTGGAGTGGTAGGAGGAATGAAGGAGAGCAGCAGTTAGGTGAGGGTGGGGTAGGCTTCCCTGAAGAGGTGGGTTTTCAGGGAGCGCCTGAAGGTGAGGAGGGAAGGTGACAGTCTGATGGATTGGGGTAGTGAGTTCCAGAGGATGGGGGAGGACCTGGAGAAGTCTTGCAGACGTTGCGTGTGAGGAGGAGACCAGGGAGCAAGATAGAAGGAGGTCCTGTGAAGAGCAATGCCAAGGGTACGGGTAGGGTGGTACTTGGGAATCAGGTCGGTGAGGTAGTTAGGGGCAGTGTTGTGAATGGCTTTTGTAGGTCAGAGTGAGTTTTGAATTTGATGCGTTGGGCGATAGGGAGCCAGTGGAGGGAGAGGCAGAG